TGTTCTAGTTTTAGGGAAAAGCGAAGTTTAGCTCAGGATAGGAAAGAGTGGAGGTACGTGTCCAACCAGTCTTAGGACTGACGACCTTATGATGATGATGATTTTGGATATCAAAGCAATGCAATCGAAGCCGCGGGTAAATCTATAATAAAATTTCGTACACGCATTGTTAGAGGTGCATAGAAGGACATAGGGCACCTTTTATCTAGAAAAAGTTTTCTGTTCCCGAGGAATAGAAAGAATTAGTCTCGTGTGGTGGATGATCTTTGACACGTATTAATAAACGACAAATCGAATAAAACCACATCATAATATAAGAATCAGTAGATGGTAATCTTTTATGCTCTTGTCCTGCTTTATCTTTAGATAATAAAATAAAACACCAAAGACTAATTTAATAACATTTTAGACGTTTATTGTAATATCTGGTGCTATAGCAGCGTTTGTTTATTGTGTATTGTTAATAGAAAGTGCTGGTCATTTGACTTTTATTCGCGAATCTTATTACAATTACGAAAAGGATGTTGCAATGTTAATTGCCAGATGGATAAATATCTTTGCGTTTTTATGGACCATACAATTTATTATCGGGTGCCAACAAATGGTAATTGCGGGTGCTGTTGCAGCATGGTACTTTACCAGGTAAGTTGATTCCTCTCCACCCAATAAAAATATTGTCTGTACTCATAATTGAGTCATTTTTATGTAAAAGGAGACGGTCTATAATGGTCATTTTATGATTCTTTTCATATATAATAAGTAAAGCACCGAAAAATCTGAAAAGCATTTTCTCTAAATTGATTTTCTTATGATGGACCAAAAACAGTCCTTATGAGCCTACCTCCTTCACATTTTTTCTTTGCATTGTTTTTTTTCGCTTCATTCATTACCTAAACTTATTGCATCTTTATCTACAAGTAAAAAAATTCTTTAAGGAACAAAAAGAGGCTTGGATCACCAGTGTTCTACAGCTTCTATAACCTTACAAGATATCATATAGGTTCCGTGTGTTTTGGATCGTTCGTTATTGCTCTAGTCCAATTGCTTAGAATTATTTTGTCGCTAGTTCAACGTTTCGTTAAGAAATACAATAACTCTTGTGCCAATTGCGTATTAAAATGTTGCCAATGTTGCCTCTACATATTCGAAAAGATAATCAAGTATATTAGCCGAAATGCATACATCGAAATTGGTAAGTAGGATTGGTTGGACACGCATTCCCATTCCTTCCTATCCTGAGATAGATGGTAATCTAATGCAAGTCTTTCTCTGCCCCATTATACTCTTATTTCTGCTACTAATATATCCCTAAGTACCCTTTCATGCTTCAAACGGAACCCTGTCATCTTATCTCTCTTTATGGGATATCTTAGCCTACCTATCTCCTTATTATCTTCTTTCTCTAATGCATCTCCTAACTCTGTTAAGATAAAAATGGATTTTAAAAGTATAATATCCAAGTACAGACAGTGTAACGCCATCTAGTGTATATATGCTACTACTTAAGTGTTTTAAGCGTCGACAAGGTCTTACTAAACAACTGGGCTGATGATATTAAATAAGATCGAAATCTCTAACCACGTCTGATAGTTTCGATACGTTTTTGACCATTTCTACATTCTTAAGTATTTTAGCCTCTTTACCCATTTAACATTGCCAAAAGCTTTTCCTAAATCTACGAATCCTTTTTTATTTTCTGTCGCTTTCCCACTATTTCAATATTTGTTATGTACACGATGATTATCATGGAGAAAAACATATCTTCGAATTTCACTTCGAACACTTATGAATCGTCCTGAACATTGTTTTTTGTTTAAAATATGTTTTTTTACTTTTAGCAATTCGCGGTTATCCGTTTTGTAAAGCAGGACAAGTAGCTTTCAAAATATTAACATCTAATGCTCTTAGAGTCGCAGCTATCAATGCTGTTGGAGATTTTGTATTATTTTTAGGAAAAGTTATTGTTGTTATGGCCACCGTTGTGTTGGGAATTCAGTTTCTTCAGGTAATTTTTAATTTTTTTGTTCTTGTCTACCTTTTACAATTTTCGTTTTAGAACAAAGAAGGAGTACAACATATTTGGGCTATTTTGACTGTTTGTGGTGTTTTTGCGTTCTTCGTATCCCACTGCTTTTTAACAGTTTATGAGGTAAGTGAAATTAAATTTTAAATATATTTAATACCTACATTAAACAAAGGTTTATGATTAAAACGAAGGTAGGTAAGTTTTGAACAAAAAGTTCGATGTCTTTCCCTGATTTTAAGGACGAAAGCGCAGCATTCCCTCCCTGATAGGAAAAGAAAGATCTTTTTAAAAACCCTAAAAATTCTCTTTTTTAAAACTGTTTACTACTACCCTCTGTAGTCGAACTGAGTAAAATTGGTTGTTTCGTTTAGAGCCCACGTTGGCTCAGTTGTACAAAACTGTTTTACCTGTTCAACCGGCTAATATGAGTGTCTACATTTTCGGGGATTCCCAAAGATTGTGGATGTGGCTCCGGGCACAGCCCTTCAATTAAGTAAAAAAGTAACGAACAAGACATCGTTGGGACAATTTTCGGTACTCCATAAATTAAAAAATTACCTCCCCAGTATTATCGCTAAAACGCGACTAAATTCGTTGGCTGCGCTTTCAGTATTTGACTGGCTTTTTTACGTCACAGTAATGACTATAGCTTATAAAATGAAAACGAAGTTAATTTCACCAATTGCAGACCAAATTTTATTTGTAATACTCTTTATTTCTGTGACATTACAGTGACGACGTTGCGATCATTGTCTTTGATCATTTTCAGGTCATCAGTAAAAAATGGGTTGAGTCTCAATCTACGTTTCAACTGACTAACTTGTCTTCGTTATGTCTCACGTTTTTGTTCACAGTGTTTGTTTGTTTGATTGTTGACTATATTTATTTATGTGAAAAACATTGACTATGTAACTACGTTTCCATTTTTTACTGATGACCTGAAGATGATCAAAAACAATGATCGAAACGTCGTCATTGTAATGTCACAAAAATAAAGAGTATTACAAATAAAATTTAGTCTGTAATTGGCGAAATTAACTTCGTTTTCTTTTTATTTGGATACGAATACAGACGAGATTAGCTTCTTAACTCACAAACTATAGCGTATATTTGTTTAATAATTTTAGATGGCTATAGACACCATTTTCATTTGCTTTTGCGAAGATTGCGAACAAAATGACGGACTGTCTCGTCCCTATTACATGTCGCGTGATCTGATGCATTTTGTTGAAAATTCCAAAAAAGCTTTGAGAGCTTTATCTTCCGAAAGGGAAGCCGCTCATTCACAAAGTCCAAAATTAGTTACCACGTCAAATACGTAAATTAATTTTCGATGTTATTAAATTTTTATTCCTACTCGTTAATTATTAATCAAATACTAATTACACACACAAGATGTTATGAGACTGATAGATTTTTGTAAATATTGCTACTGTGTGGCTTATGTAATACGAATTCTAATTCAATCAAGTGTGTTTTTGTATGTTTTACTTCATACCTATCTACGTATATGCATATTATAATGTAAAACCTTTTTTAATATGTGATATCTTACCAATATGCTTAAAAGTTTGAAAATTTACACGTAACATTCAAAAATAATTAATAAAAAATTATTATATGTAGATATGTATGTGTTAAAGTTTGTGAAATTATGTTAGGAATTAATCGATGACAAATCGAATAAAATATTATAAAAATTGCAGAAGACTTATTTATTTCGTAAAATTTAAAATATTCACAAGAAAGTAATTGTTAATTTCTGAAAAATAAGATGGTAATCTAATGCAAGT